CTAGATAGTTGACCAGGTTAAAGAAATTATTGTCAGATGAATGTTAATTTATGGATGAGAGCCGTCAAACCTATAGAAATTTATATTATAAAATCATATCTTCTAGACACTGATAGCAATAAATTAAACAAACTTCTCTGTGTCAATTGTCAGTACAAGCTAGGTCTAGACATCAACACACGAACAGGTGTGCGTATAAATCATGAATGATGTCATAGTTCTCACCCCCTCAAAAATAGTATAAAGAGGGTTTGGACGCAGTCCACAGGGCGGCCATCCCCAAAAGGCGGACATTCACAAGGCGGACATTCACAAGAGGGACATTCACAAGGCAGACATCGGCTGCCACATCTACTGACCAATACCGCCATACTGCCGTGACGATCTAGGAACATTTTTACCAACGACCCATATTATGGATCGGGAACTTAGAGGTATTTGTTTTTGGATATATATTTGTATACTCTCTCTCTGCGAAATCTCTCTCTGAGAAATCTCTCTTCTAGAGATCTCTCTCTCGTCTCTTAACTTAGAGAATAGAGATTAGATGTTTCATATGAAAGACAAATCATTGTCGCGACATAGAATAGAATTTTGTAGATCTTCTCCTTAGCCTTTGATATGTACTATTTTATAGTTGTTTATTAAATGTGTTATTCTTGTTCAACCTGTGTATTCATTTGGGAACCTGTCGGCTTACTCACTGACCTCCCCACTCAATTTTATTTTGCCCTCCTATAAAGCCATCCTCTGACAGAGCCGCCGGTAAGTGGGGACAACTAACCCCCTCGGTTATCACACTTATATCTCGCCCATCTAAAGTTTACACAGACCTGTGATCCAGCCTCTCTATATCTCCATTTGGGAAAATTGCAAAGTATTGCAACCTATATTTAGATTTTGTAAAAAAAATGTTTACTCCAAAAAAAGCAGTGTGAATTGGATTTAAATTTAAGAGGTTCCTTGATAAGTATGTTAGTTTTATCAATTAAATACAGTAAATAATAATCATAATAATTATAAAATTCATTTTTTTTGTAAATAACAGTTTAAAAATATACAATACACATATAAAATTTTATTTCATAACTAATTTTAACTGAAAAAATTCTTTAAATTTATACAGTTAAGCCTCTGAACAATGACTACTATGAGGAACATTAAAAAGGCCATTTTTGCAGGTCATTTTGTATGCATTTTTATTCAACATTCCCAATAAACTGTTAAGAGGGGACAGTTGTTGGGAAGTAGGCATTATCGGAGGTTTGACTGTATTTAGTAGCTAATTATAACTATAGGTTAAAGCAGCGATTCTCAACCTTTCTGATGCTGTGGAACATCATTCATATACTTTTTATTATATGGAGCATTAGCATCAATATATTCAAAAATTGATAAGCAATTCCATGTTTACTATTCGCATGGTACAAAAAAGCAATAAAAAAATAAAATTTTATTGTATTGAATACAATAATAAACATGAAATTGTCTAGAAGTAAAGTAATATAACTGTAAAACAGAATAATTTTACAATAAAAATTTTGAACTTTTTTTGTGAAATACTTCAGGCAAGTTTGCGGAACAAGGGTTGAGAACGACTACATTAAAAAATAACTTTATACTAACCCGAGGAATATTTTTAACTGTTGATATTATTTCTTTTATAAATTGTTCAATATTTTCTTTAATTTCATTTAATTTTGGCTCAAATTCTAGCTTTTGATTTTTTATAACAACCTTTATAATAATAAGAGAAGGATTAAATAATTCTCTTTGTTTCAAATCTTCATATAACTTATTTTCTTCCTAAAGATAAAAGTAAACAAAAAGTTACATCAGTTTTATAAATTTTGATCTCAAAATTATAATCAACAAATGATTAATTTTAAATAACAAAGTAAAATATCACACAGATAATTATGAATAAAGAAAACCTTATAATTTTTCAAAAACATTATCCATCTTTCTAGATTTTCTATTACAGAATAATAAAGCAAACGATACATCGTAGCAGAAATTGATGAGAAAAAACATTCTATATTTTCTAATGAGTCATTTTCCTGAATGGGGACTAAGGGTGCCCAATCATCTTTCAGAATTGTTAAAATATAGACACAATCATTGGCCCATCTGAAAAAAATTATATAAAAATTTTAAAATACTCTTTCACATTATTCATATATTTACTATAATATAAATAATATAATTATGTTTTATTAGTTAATACAATATAACAAGTAATATAATTAAAGACTTTGGGCAATATACAAACAAACATGACTTTCACTTTTGTCCAGGTTCAAAAGAGATTTTTCCGCATTACACAGCTATGTGTATTGCTCATGCAATTATGAAAGTATAATCAGAGAAGAGTTAAAAGAGTAAAATCTACAGAGGCTTAATATGAAGCTAAAATTAGTAATACAGTAATACCCCGAACTTATGCGATAGGTGGGACTGAGCGATAACCACGTAAGTCGAATTCGAGTAAGTTGGGGTATATGTTCGCAATTTGTGTAAAATCCAAATCTGATGTATGTAAGCTAATAAATGTTCTCGTTAACCTATCTCGCCTTTTGATTCGTTCACGGTTACAAGAAATTACCACATAGAGTCTCTTAAGTATCCGTAGATATATCAAACATAGAAATAAATAACACAAAATAAATTGTAGCTATGCGTCAATTCCGCGCGGCACGTTCGAACATGTAAGCTAAACGATAGTGTGGGGGGAGTGAGTAATCAAGAGTTGCGTGGCGTTCAAACAAAAGACGAATCGACGAGATTTGAAAATCGCGTAACTCCGGGTTCGCGTAAGTCGGGGTAGCGTAAGTCGAGGTATCACTGTATTTGTCAGATATAATCAGTCACTTTTATAACCACTTAAAATGGGTTTTTTTGGACAAATAAACCAAAATGCTATGTCTTTTGAATCCAACTCTCACCTGATTTCAAGAATTACTCAGAAGATGATTAATTCTCAGATATTTTATTTAAATGAATTTCGGATTGGAATTCTCTTCCAAATATTGGTGTAGGCTCCGTTGCAGATTGCATCTTTACTAAAGAGGGATCGGTGAGAATTCTAATCCAAAATAAATTTAAATAAAATATCTGAGAATCAATAATCTTCTGAGTAATTCTTGAACGCGGGTGAGTGTCAGATTTGGACATAACATTTCGGTTTATTCATTCAAAAACTCCTATTAAGTGGTTATAAAAGTGACTACAGAGGTTTGTTTTTGCTAAACACAAAATGATGTCACAATTTTTTTTATTATTAGAGAGGTTGAGGCACACGTTTTAAACGTGTAAACGTATACGTGTGACGTTCGGCGCCGCTTTCCCGTAAGCCTAAAAGTTTGACGATGGTGTTTGGAATGTCGAGCGTGATTCCACCGACTATCCAAACATCATTGTCAAACTTTTAGGCTTACGGGAAAGCGGCGCCGAACATCACATGTACACGTTTACACGTTTAAAACGTGTGCCTCAACCTCTCTATTTTATAAGCTTAAATGTGAAAAATAATAATGCTGTGATGTGGTAAAATAATAATGTATTACATAAAAAAAAAAGAAAGCTAAACTAAAATTTTGAAGGTTCAAACCTACATCATCTATCTCCAGTGCCTAGTGTCTTATCCATTCACCTATTGCTGCTCAGAGATGTAAAACTTTTAAAGACTTATAAGCTAAATTTTCAGATGCCCATTTTTTTGAAAATGCTTGTGGACTAGGTCCTATTATTTGGACAAGAAGCTGTTTGTGTTTAAGGCTATGTGCTCAGCAAGTTTCGTTCAAATTGGACACCCAAACATCTGGTCCTCTGCTTATAAGTGACAACTTAACACATTACTTTTACTTTCCAGATGCCAAACTGATAAGGCTACAAGCTGCATTAATTAGTAAGTAAAACTGGTGGTGATAAATAATTTAAAATGATAAAAAAAAATTTTAATTGGCAAATAATTGATGATATTTTTAAATTTTCTGGAGTGATCATCTATCATCATTTCATAGTAGTGCTCATGAGTGTAAAACATTGCAATACTACTTCACTAATTAGCAGACCACATAATGTTTGTCTTTTTATAAAACCATTGATATCAGGTGTCACTATGACTTGTCAAGATCACATTTTTACTTTCTTGGCACTGTTAAGCCTGGTACTCACATACAGCAATGAACGATGGAAACCATCGACGGAATGGCAAAATGACGTCACTTTTCCCGTCGAAGCCGACGGAATACAAAGTTGAAAATTTTCAACTTTTGCCGTGGCAGAAAGCAGAACAGCAAAAATTAGACAAATGGGAAGGCTGTTTAGCAATGTCATCATAAAGATCACATGGACGATAGCATTCGAACTATGACGGTCAGCAAGCTAAAAAGCTTTATTTGTACACTAATACACTAATATATTTCATTTATACACTAAATTACTATCCGATTTAAATATTAATGTCAAATAGACTTACTTACTGCATAAAGTATTGGGAATGGAGTAATCGTAATTCTGTGGCGAAAGTATTCGATATTCCTAACTTTCGACGATTTAGAATATTTTTCCTATCCAAATTATTAGTTTTCAAGGTTTTTTATTTGCGATAAGATCGAAGGCAAACTTAAAAAGTTTAATTGATATAACAAAGCAATCCTGGTAGACACCATTTTCGACTACTGGCCATGTGCCAGTAGTCGAAAATGCCAGCTGTAAATCTGCCAGCTGTAAATATAAACAAGCTACTACAGTAGCTTGTTTATATTTACAGCTGGCAGATGGCGCGTTTCAATTGTAGGGTAATTTCTGCATGTGAATACATGGGACATGGAAAGACAACAAAACGGTAACTGTTTCCGTTAACGGTTTCCGTTGTCTGTTGCCGCATGTGAGCACCAAGCTTTATATATAATAGAGGGAAGTATGGCAATCAGAAAAATATGACCACCCCAATAATTTCACATTTTTGGACTCAGAGACCTTGAAACATTGAGAAATGAAAAAAAATTTGGGGTTTTTTTCTATATGTATGGTGGATGTTAGTGTGTAGCATGATTTTGTTCATCCTCTTTGAAGCTTAATAACTCCTGTGTGTTTTGTTAAAAATTTCTGAAATTTTGCAGGAATGTTTGTATATTAGGGGGATTGATGCTATTAAATTTTGGTGGTTAAAGGTTGAGGGATGGGGAGATAAAGGGGGTCATGTAATATCTAAAGTAGGGTTGGACTTAATGACGATTTTACTTGTTATTAGCATTTGCAGTTTTTTTTATAAAACCCATCCCTACCATCAAAATTAAGCTTTTTGTCATTTTATAATAATTAAAAATATGAAAAGTTTTTAATAAATAAAATATCATAACAAATGGCATCACACAGGCAGTTTTAAATGTTGCAGGGAAAGTTAAGCAACTCATTGCTGGATTTTTAATTCACATCTTGTTCTTATGATTGAAAAATTTATGTATTGCCTGAAACTGCCATACAATTTACACATGCCCCTTTTTAAATGAAATTATTTATTTTACTATAAACATTTATTGCAATGAAACTAATGTACCATCTGCATATATTTGTGTAATGTTGAATTATTCAATGCCCTGTATACAGTATTTTGTATTATTAAAGGACATCACACAATCCATATAGATATTGGTCCTTGATGAAATTGGCTGAAACTTTAGTATGTTATAGTTCTTGACTAACTGAATAAAGGTCTCAATTGGCATGAATTGAAAATGAACAATTGGAATTCTGAAGCAGTATGTCAAATATGATTGGACAATGCTTTATTGAACAACAAACAAGGGGGAATGCTGCATAGCAAGAATGCAATGCAGAAATGGTTGAAATGCAGATAGGTTTAGGTTAACAGTGATACAGTGTTCAGGTTAGCAATATTTTATTTAACAGTATTTTGATATTTGCAATTATATCCATATCATTGCTAATCTAACAGCACATTCAACCATTCCCACACTGCATTTGAGTTAAGCTGCAAATCATTGCTCTCCCAGTGTGTTATGCAGTAAAGCATTTACCTGTTCATATTTAATAACCTCTTCTGGGATCCTACTTGATATTTCAGAATACATTAAAAGACAATATGTATTTTTTTCATCTACAAGTAATTGGCCTATTACTTGTTTGAAATAATTGGCCAGGGAGAGACTTTTGTTACCACCTTGTATATACACTTCATATATTTGAATGGCTCTAGCACAAGAAACTAGCCATTTTCAAGCTTTATGCCCATTGAGACTTTTCATTATTTAGTCAAAAACTATAACACATAAAATTTCAATAACATCAATAACATAGTAAAATTTCAGCCAATTCACAAGAGCCAAAACTCATTAGGATTGTGCAGGGTCTTTTAATATGTGGAATTAGAAAAACAAAATTCAAAGAAAATAGTTAATCATATTTTTAAACTTTATTTGTATTATTATATTTTATATACATTAATAAACAAAATAAATAATTCTTACTTTTCAATTAAATACTTTTTTGCACTTTGGCATTCTTTCATTATATAAGATATAAATTCAGATGATGATAGAGGTATATATTTTTCTTGTAACTGTTTGATATTAACAAAACAAAATGTTGAATATCTAAATAAAAAAATAAAACCTGTCATTATTGAATTTTACACTTGTTGTTATACAAAAATCAATATATTTCTATCATTTAACTTAAAAGAATAAATCTGTCTTAAACTCTAAATCAATTTCAGTCTATTATATATAATAGTATTAATAATGCTATTTTATATTGTTATTTCTAAGAGATTTGAAGATGTTTTAATCAAACAGCAACTTAATTTTATCATCTTTGCAATATAATTTTGATAAACAATTATTAAACATACATTTATAATCTCTTTATTTATTCATTGTGGTATAACTTAGTACACTAATAATATAACAAATGAATAAATATTTCCATTGAATCCTTCAGTTTAATAACAATTCTTTTCAAATTTATTTGTTACTTCATTACATAATTTGAAAATAATTTAAAGAATGAAATATGTATGTAAAATGTAAGATATTAAATATATCCTATTAATCATATTAATAAATGAATTTCTTTTACTTACAGTATTAATTTATTTCAAGAAACTTGTGTGTTTGTGTGTATTTACAGCCTAAAATGGAAAGCAATAGTACTGGCCAGAACTGTCCTTTTTGACAAGTTTCTGATTTATAGTCATATTTTTATTAACATAGAAAAAGAAGAAAATTGAAAAACTATTTAAAATTCATATTTTAGAACTGCTTCTCATCCAATGTAAGTGTTTTAAATTTCAAAGACACATTTAAAACACTGAAGTATGAATGTATTAATTCTGCTTTCAATTGCCCATGCTTGAAGATGGCCAAATCAGCTCAAAAATGTTAGTATTATTCCACTGTTAAAGGTGCATTGATTAACCACAATGGCTGGTTCATCATTACTGAAACATATAACTCATGCTTAGAAGAAAAACTCAATACCCTTGGAATGTGTTTTAGTTATGATTTAGATTTAATGCTAAGCCAAAACTAAATTCCTCTTTGCTCAATAATGTTATGCAATTGACACCCAAAATGTCTTCCCTTTTCATGTTTGACAGTCAGAAACACTTTCCATGTTCCATTTTCTGACTTATATGTATGTATATAAAATCCCATTATAAGAAAGACATTGGCTGTACACAAAGCATTTAGCTGGCAGAAAAAAGGGTAAGGGAAAGGGAGGGGAAGGAGGGAGAGGAGATAGACCGTAGAGAAAGGTAGGATCCCTCTGAACAGCATACATAAGGGTACAGTACCCTCTATGTTTGATATTTGAGATTTTATATAGCAAATTATTTCATTTTAAGATTTATTTTCTGTTTAGGCAGGGTTTTGCTTTGTAGTGGTCCATTTTAGGATGATTTAACTGTGTACAGAAATAAATATTACAATTTTTTTTTAATAATAAAAAATAAATTTACAAAATAAATTTAATTCATAATAATTATTTAAAAATCAGTTTAAAATCTTCTCATCAGTAAAAATGTTTGGTATAAAAAAAATTTCATATATTTAAATAGTCACAAATCAATTGTTTATCACTCATTTAAGGTCAATTCACACATAAAGGTAATGTTCAGTGCCTTGCCAGTGACACCTGTAACTTATCAGTAACAGTTATTTATATATACAGTGGAACCTCGCTTAACATAACAAGCAAAACAAATTGTAAAAAATGACTTGCTTAATGAGTGACGTTTTGCATAATGAGTGACAAAAAGAGGAGGAGAGGGGAAGTCTCAGATTGTGTGCATGCTCCATCAGTCTGTGTTTAGCACTCATTCCGCTAGCATCTTAGTGTCACTTGTGATCAGACATATTACATATAAACATCAACAACCATAGCCCATTATAATAAAAATGCCAAATGATATGCCAAATTTTTGGGCTATGTAAAGGCTATAATTAAATATTAGAAATTGATTAATTTGACTAGAGATAGACAGTTAACATGCGACTAAATATCTAAATGGCACAATGTGCTGATTGGTCAGCTGAATGATGTCAACCCACCGAAATAGGAAATGCTGATCGATTATGTTATGTGGGAAGAAGTCATGCCGGAATAAATTATTTCCTTTAGTTGTCGTAATATGTAGTGAGAATAAAGTGAAAATATAGTATAATGTTTAGCTTGCATGTTTTCTTAAATTTATAGGAATAATTTTAAAATGGTTTACTTTTACGTAATAAATTACTAACATTGTTATTATTATTATTATTATTATTTTTTTTTTTTTTTGAACGAATTTTAACTTCANATTATTTACTATTATTATTATTATTATTATTATTATTGGAACGAATTTTAACTTCATACTTGATCTTTATGCACCTCTGAATCAAATCATAGACAATAAATAATTTTAATAGTGTGATTAGTTCTATAAATTTAAATATATGTGCACAGATAATAGATAACAGAACATTTATACTTTGTTACAGATATTATTCATAAAAAGTTCGAGAAAGGATGAAATTTATAATTAAGACAAGTCAGAATATTTTTTGAATTTGTCATATGCATTTAATATAGTTAAATGAAACAATAAAATTAACTAAGCTTTGTATACCTCTGAAAGATAAATTTTTATAAATCTTGCTTAACAAATTATAAAGTTTAAATGTAAAAGTTATTGAACAATTTTGAATAAAGAATATTCTCCATAGGTTACTCTTATCAGAAATTTTTTCTAATGCTTTAGTTAGAATTGGCAGTTCTTTCTGTCAATAGATATTTTGTGCTTTTGAATATCAGTTCAAAATCTGTGTTAAGAAACAACACTTCAAATATACAGAAATTTCATATTCCATAATGGATATATCTGTAAATGTATTTAATCAAATTTGTATGACCATTTTTCAAATTAAAAGTATAGAATTCTTGTATACATTATTTAACAGCCAATAATACTGTAAGTACAGTATTTAAATTTCATTGAATATAATAGTTATATATGTTTTAAATAAGAATTTCCATACATTTCATCATNATAGAATTCTTGTATACATTATTTAACAGCCAATAATACTGTTAGTACAGTATTTAAATTTCATTGAATATAATAGTTATATATGTTTTAAATAAGAATTTCCATACATTTCATCATGGAAATTGTTTATGAATATAAATGTCAGGAAAAAGTAATGTTGTATTTGTCCTGTAATGTTTTCATAGTAAGCTATTTTTTAAACCCTTTTTTATTTTTTGTTAAAATAATATTACCATACTAATAAATAACTATTTCTAGATGCCTTGTATGTGGTGTATAGGTATACACCACATATAAGGCATCTAGAAATATAAAGTGAAGGATGCGTAGGAAAATATAAAGTGAAGTGATATCCAGTGTCTATATTTAAGTTTCCACAGGATTTGGAAAGCAAATCAATGCATTAGAGAGATTTTGTAGAAAAAATAACTTATTATTTAAAATGTTTTAACAATTATACATTAAAAAGTATGAATTATGTTTAGGTGAAAATATATACTAAATTAATGCACATACACAAATTATTTATCGTATTTATACAGACACTTGACAAATCACAGAATTAAATTTTATTCAGTTGATACGTGTTTCTTTCATAAATAATTTGTGTTTGCATTAAAGATTACTGGCATGGTTTCAAAAATACCAATATACTAAATTGTTAACTAATTTGCATTTCCAGTTAGCATATTCTGTTGTAATATATTTAAAAAGAATTAAATGCAAGTTTCTATAAGGTTAAAAATACTGTATTGTCTAATTAAGATTGTAAAAAACAAGTTAATTTGCAATTTACATTTGTTGTTTTGATTATTTTATTATTATAGTAAATGTACAAAAAAAAGTTTCATTAAAATACAAAACAGATAAAAGTTACTTCTTGATGTTTAAAAATGTCTCAACATTAAAATGTTTGATATCACATAATTTAGTTTAATTGAAAATTTTGCAATAATTTTAACATTAATGTCAATACACACAATCAAGAGTTAGTGAAATTATAAATAAGTGCCTTTTATCAAGTTTTAAAAAAATGTCTGTAATGTCTGCCTGCTCTCACAACAACAATACAAAGTTTAGGCTAATAGATTTCTGTGGGTTGATGTCATTCAGCTGACCAATCGGCGCATTGTGCCATCTGGACATCTAGTCGCACATGACAGTTATGCTGCCATGTTGTATTAAATTTAATGATTAATTCCAACTTAAATTTTAGAAATGTCTAAATTAAAAATTTAATACGAGATGGCAGCATAACTGCCTACCTCTAGTCAAATTAATTAATTTCTAATATTTAATTATAGCTTTTACATAGCCCAAGAATTTGGCATATCGTTTGGCATGTTTATCAGACATATTATCTGTGATTTTTTTTGTTTTCTGCAAATCAAATTTGCATTCCAAGTTGGTTCATTCCATGCTAGAAGAAAAGATGATGATGATTCACACTCCTTAACAATGTATATTGTATAATTCTCTTTGAATAAATGCTATACATAAAATATTTGAGTATTTTTTTTGGCATGGAATGCATTATCATATTTTACATTAATTTATATGGGAAAAATTGTTTCGCTTAACGAGTGTTTTGTATTACAAATAAAAAGGGCACATACTCGAAGTTAGGGGCGGACTCCACCATAGAAGCAGGTGGCCCAAGACTCCCATCCTGCCACTCTCTCGGGCGACTCAACACCCCAGCTCCTGTCTCTCCTACAAGATGATCCCGGAGTATTTCAAGGACATTCCCACAAACAGGATCAGAAGACATCAAACCATTTACGAGGTATCCAATATAGACTTATGTAAACTCTCTCTCTCTCAGTATCTTAGTTGTTAAGTAACTAGCTTGTTGATAGTAACTGCCATAGATGTATTTAACCCTGTTTTGTTACTCATTAAACTTTTGTTACTTGTTAACCAAGTAACCTGTCTTTATTCATAGAATGCTCACCCTATCAACAGACTCATTGTTGATA